AGAGCTTCGGTCTCGCCCGCCCACCCGTCTCTTACATTAACCATCTGTGTTCTGTGTTGCTCTACCATCGCTCTTTAATGTTTATCTAAATCAAAATCACCTGAACAGAGCTGCATTTTGCTTTGGACAATGTATTTCTTCTTTTCCATGAGCACATTTGGCACAGTTTCTCACTTTCAACTCAAACAACGCGGGTATGGAACGGTATCACTGGGCATGCTCAGTGTGAAGTCTGTACCCCGAAGGACTTTGTCACTAGAGACTGATAAATATCGCAGGAATGTTTCTGTGTAAAGAGCCTTATGGTTGTATCAACAAATACAATAACTATATTTGTAGTTGTTCCAAATAACATTGAAATTAAACCACAATTTATAAAAGAAAATGACAGTATTTACTGTAAAAGAGGCCAATCGACATGGATGCTGCAAGATAAAAGATTCACACACCTTTACATATCAAGTTCTGTTACATTTATTTCTATTTTATAAAGTAGAATTAGTCTTTTATGCGCATTATCAGTCTGACTTTATCTGTATAGTACTTTTCATACACTCATAATGTAACACAAAGTGCTGCACTCACACAAAAATAAATGATAAAAGAAAAAAATTCCACAAATGATCCCTACAACCCTACCATAGACAAGACCGAAAACAAGCCAGAAATAAATAAAACCAAGGCTGACAAACTGAGGAAACACAATCATGAGGTCTTCATGAGAAAATACTGAAGGTAGATTTAAATGTTAAAACTCCAGGTAAAAAACTACGACATCCAAAAAAGAGATAATTTTAATGAGATAATAATGAAAAGATTTATTCTGTAAAAAAGATATTAAAACACTAAAATATAATCCAACATACCAACTACAATGAGACGGTAAATGAAATACAACAATAATAAATCTGTGAAATAAAATTTCAATATGTTAGAAATTCAAAATAATTGAATTAAAATAAAACAATAAAACAGAGTGTGAGTTGGTAAAACAGACTTGCATTAAACCCAAGTGAAAAAGTCGATGAATATTTAATAGATTTAATAGATAAGATTAAAGTTAGAGTGAAACACAGTTTGACGAAGGCTAAAATGTGCTTTTTATTTTAGAAAATGTAGATAAATGTATGTGCTGTCCCAGGTCTATTAGTAGTTTTTGTTGATACATAATTCACAAGACATTGAGTTCATGAGAAATCATGGTCACGGGATCTCTGAACATCTTTGTCTCTTCAATGCCATTGAGAAGAAAATTGGACCACTTTAGGTAATATGTTTTGCAGAAATGTAGGAAGAAGATGTAAAAAATTACCACTAGCAATATTTAAATGATTGTCTGAAATGCAGTGTAGTTATAACAAAACTGTGGCCTATTTGTAAGGCCTACTAGTAAAAGTGGATTCTCCTTCAGACAACTTTGGGCTGTGAGGGAAGGATTAACTCTTCCAACTAACCAACTATCCCACTAACATATGGTAGGAGGAACTTCAACATGCACACACACAAAACCTCAAACAATTCCACACACAGTTTATTTCAGTTCAAAATAGTACACACTCTGCTCTCTAAAGTAAAAAACAAAATGTGTCCGGCTGTTTCTCCCATATGTCACAGATGCCCGTTCTGAGGAAACGTTTGGTCCCGCATTTTTTGTATTTGCCTTTAAAGTCGATACCTCTAATCCAGAACCAGATCCTTTACTTTTTTTTTCATTTTTGGCTAATTTTAAATGAAAATTGGAGCTAACTTTAGTTCTGAAACTATTTTTCCCTCATTAGAGCTAAAAAATATAATTAATTAATAAATAAATATTGGATGCTATTATTGTTCCTCCCATTATAATGTGGCTGGAAGATTTAACTATCGTCTTAAATTTAGAAAAGATGCCAAAAACATCAATCACTCATTTGAAAACAATGATGATTAAAAAAAAACTTTGGCATGTCCTTGTCTTTTTATTTGAAGAGATTCTTCACTACACTGTAGTTATTTTTCACTACATCAGAAACATGTTGTAGGCAAATGGAAATTTACTGGTTATTAGGATAGATTAGAATGACATGCAGGAGATGAAGAAGGATTAAATCCCCCTTTTTATTTATTCTTTTTCCTTTTCAGTTTGTCAAGTCAAACAAAAACCCATATAGTAAGGTTCAAAATTAATATTTAGCTTTATAAATCAGTTAAAAACCATAGCTGCAACCCTGTTGTCTGTATGTGATAAATGTAACAGCTCTAAAAACATTTGCTTCAGTCTTAGAGTCTTTTATAATAAGTGGACTGCTTGAAATAAAACAGAACTTCTTGTCAGTATCAGTAGTATTTTATGAGCTGAGGTTGTGACTGAAAACAAGTTTCTTGTTTCTTGATTCTTTACACAAAACACTGTAATTCCATGAGCTGAATCTGTGAACTAGTTTAGATTCAATAGGGACGCCCATTATGTGCAAATCTCTCCTCACGACTGGTGGAATTGAGGACAATGGAAAGTTGCTGGCTGAGAGCGCATTTTGGTCACATTGTGACCGACTTACTGAGTCGTTTTTTTGCCAAATGTTAAAAAGGAGAGAGAGAGAACAAGAGAGAGAGAGAGAGAGAGAGAGAGAGAGAGAGACTTCTGATTGACAGGAGCTCTATCTCTATAAATAAAGACATTTCTTTCCTGTCTTAAGGCTTCCTCAGTTTCTTTATGTCATCTTTCTTAAGACCGTTATCGCCTCATTTGAGTGCAGTTTCCTTAAACTAAAGCAGAAATCTTTTTTGGAGTCTTTAAAAATGTAAAGACTATATCTAAAAAAGCCTGGCAGATACCTGTTTTCAAAATGCTGGTATATTCTTTAGATTACAGACTGTAAAAGCTTCATTTCTTTTAGATGTCAACCAGGAGTGGAGTCAGGCAGTGGGTCAGACACACATCACTGAAATACCACTCATTACAGACTGTTCGGAAAGTAATTTCAGCCCAGGTGGGAGAAAAGAAGGATTGTTGGGTCTTGAACAGGATGAGCAATGGAAAAGAAGGTCATGGGTTGAAGCAGTTGGGAGGAAATGAAGGAGTGTAAGTGGTTAAGAGCATATAAAAGAATGCTGAGGAATGGTTTGATATACTGTATGCTTAAAAAAAAGTCAGTTTTTAAGTGAAGGTGGTGGTGAGGGTTAAGTATTTTCAAGAGTGCAAATTAGAAACTGAAGCATTGTTTTAATCTCCATCACAGCAGGGGTCCATCCTAATATGAGATGCCTCTTTATTGAGAGAGTCTAAGTAGGACTTCTAATCAGGAATCTGCAGTATTTCACGACAAGACTTTTTGTTGTTAATAGTTCATTGTGTGACAAAAGCTTGATTAAAGTAATCAAGGTATTCACACTGCAAAAGCAAAGTTCCATTTCCAAGAATAGGTTGAGTCAGCTGGTGTTAATGAGGATGTATTTTTTTCAAAAAATAAGAAATAACATAAAAACAATCTACAGAATCTCATCTTAGCTCCAAACAAGTTGCACGCCTCCACATCTTGCCGTCCAGGGACAACACACCTCCATTAGCACATCTTTGCTTGTATAAGACCCAATGAGACATTCCTCTCAGGTAGTTAAGCTTTCTTTGACTCAAAATGGCCAGGAAACAAGGGAGGGAATGCTACAATGTCTTTGTATGTGACATATTTAATAAATAGGAAGCAAACAAATGTGACCTTTGTATTGGAGACCTCTCTTTATGCTCATCTTGTGAAGGCTTTGGCATGAATTCTGGTCTTGCTGTTTATCAAAGCCACATGCAGTCAGGCCGGGTATCCGAAGAACATTAGTTTCTATGGCACTAGTCTCATTGTTGTGCATTAGGTCACATTTCTTAGCCATGCTGCAGGAAGGTTCTCAGCATGGCACCATTTGTCAGTCTGTCTGTTCAACTTCATTTGTTCAGACAGTCAGGGCTTTATTTTTGTGCCTCGCCGGTGTTGTGGCACAGGTGCGGCGTAAGTCAGGTCCACTGCGCCAACAAGGCGTGCCCAAGCACATTTTAAAATTTATAGCCCGGCATAAGTATCCCCCCTCCCTAACTTAGCTCCTCCCAGCGGCGTAAGTTGTAGAGAGGGCGTGAAGTGGGTTTCACACAGGCGAGACCTGTTTTTGCCAATCTCCTTGCCTTTAAATCCGCCACAGGCGAGGCGTATTACTATTTTCGTGAAGTAGTCAAAGAGATCAAGAGATGTCTGAAGACAGCAATGCCACACAATGGTGACAGAAGGCAGCCCCGCAACAAATGTCGCTGTAAACGCTGCATTTGGCGTCCTCCACACTCTCTCATATGAGCACAGATGGATTTGGTGTGTGTAATGTTGGACCCACTGGTAAGACAAACATCCTTTTCCACAAATAAAGACACTCACATAAAGTTGCTCATATTTAAACCTCACGTGACAAAGGTGGGTTGTGCGCACAGATCACAACATAAACTCCAATAATGGCATTAAAATCGGAACCATCTGTGTGTAATGACGCATCGCGCTCCGTGGCCTGGCTCTTTCTTTCATAGATGTTGGCATATAAAATAAATTTGGCTCACAAAACTGAATATTATAATATTCGTATGTAGGCTTAAAGTAGATAACTCATCTGAGCGCTGAAACAAATCATCTGTTCAGCCGCTGCAGGACGGGGAGAGGACACGGAGACATGTCCAGGTTGAGCTGTGCGAGAAATAAGAGGAAGAGGAGGATAGAAATATGGGGGAGACGAATGAAATATCTTGTTCACTTCATCATGTGTGTCTATCTACAAGATACTTCATTTAATTTAATGCGGTTTAAGCTGTGTTGATTCGGTCAGGTTGTGTGTCCAAACATGTGCCAAACACGCTCATCAGATCAGATATAGATCAGAATATATCTATATAGATCTAAATGTATGTGCTGACTCAGATTATTAGTTGTTGTTGATACATTCTGTGTAATTAATTTCTAAAGTTTGTCCACAGCTCCATAGGGATTGCTGGAGAAGGCGGGATTGATGACCTATACTGCAGCCTGTCACCAGAGGGTGCTGTTCTAGGGGTGGCTTCCTCCAGCGAGGGAAGCAAATGGCGTCCATTCTATATACAGTCTATGGGTATGACGCACACGCACGCACGCACGCACGCACGCACGCACGCACGCACGCACGCACGCACCTTAAATACAATATTTGCCATCAGAAAAGTGTGCAAAGACACCTGGATACACAGATATTCTGAAAAGACCAGGGTAGTTTTTTGTGGCAATCACAGCACACTGAAGGACATGTTGAATGGATGTGAAAAACACAGAGATTCCAACCTGCTCAGAAAAAATAATAAAATAATGACAAACAAGAGTTTCAGAGTCAGTGTGTAAACATAATTGCCACAACGCGGGATAGTATTTGTTTTTAAACGTGTGTCAATTTCAAGTGAATTAAACAGACTCAGTGTGCAAAGACCTTGAGCTCTCTGAAATCTGCTGGTATAATATGTTACCTGACCTTGTACACTGACATCTCCAACAATTATTCAAACTGCATTCAAAACTTTCCTCTTCTTTTGTTTATTGAGTCTTTAGTAATTAGGACTGCAAAGGCAGCCTTTCCATATCTCTACCAGTGTTGGACTATAAGTTTTATACCTGTAACAACTAGTAGCCACTTAAAGCCATTCTGACTGCTTTTTCCTGAGGATTCACACCATTTAAACTGCCGATGCAGTCAGCCTAAGTGGCTCACTTTCAACTTTACAGGCTTCCTGCTTAATATCAGCATATTAGTAATGTAACTTTGAGCACTTGTCTGAAAACTTAGCCAAAAGTATAACTAGCAGCTACAGCTGTGGTAAACCACTACCTCTACTGAGCACTGTGAAGCTATTCAGAAGTTAAATAGACTTGTCTTTGAACTGTCAACAAGACAAAAGGTTCAGGGCAGACTCGGTGCTTCTTAGCTACCAGGCTGAGGGATAATTCATGTTCTGCCAACCTGGCTCTCAGCTCAGTTCTCTTCAGAAAGCTCTCATTATGACAAAGTGGTTGAGCTGCAGTGCAGGAGAAAGGGGGCACTTTCTTGCAATTTGCTGTGGAAAAAGAACTTCACGCAAGTTGCTATTAAGACAGTGTCCTCCCTTTGGCATCATTTGGCCACTGAAAGCTCACTTTTTCTGTCAGTGTTTATCTCGCTGGCTGTTGACTTAACATGGTGGTGCTGTAAGAGAGCGAAGGAGAGAGAGAGAGAGAGACTCATACACAGTACACTAACAAAGACAACGACAACAAGAGATAAGGCAGGTGTGAGATGCTCCTTTGAAAACGTGATGTCTCTTCCCTCCTAATAAGCCTAATTATCTTGAATAAATTGAAATATAAAAAGGCTGTCCAAGATGTGCATAAGGGTTGTAAACAAAGATAATGTGAAGGCTAAGGTCACTGCGATGTTTAAACTTTGTAAGGGCAGCAGGTGCCAAACAAAAGGGCAAGTATACTTGTTTAAATAGTCTGTTGGAAATGATGACAAAGATCCAAGAAAACTGAGGAAGCAAGGATAGGAGACTCTAGGATGACCATATGTCCTCTTTTACCCAGACATGTCCTCTTTTGGGGGGCTGTCCCGTCTGCCTGGGGGGAGTTTACCAAATCCTTCAAATGTCCAGTGTTTTGTATGAAAGCCTGTTTTTTTTTGACTAACAGAAATGGACTTCCGTGGTTTTGAGTTTGTGCAGCGTGTATCTTCGCATCACAGACCATTGTATTTACCATACATGATCAATTTGAAAACACACTCTGAACGTGTATTCACTATACAACAGTGAAGGGCATCAGTGCTCTCTGCTGCTCTGCCCCTCCACTTAGTTCTAAGCAAAGCCACTGACGAGACACACGCATGCACCATCTGCCAGTGAACGAAAGAAAAGCGAGAAATATTTGTATGTGACTGATCATTTTATTGAGGAGAAATGCTTTAGATAAATGACTATATTGTTTATAAACACAACTTTGTGTGAGTATTTTTTATTTCCAAGAGGCCTGGTTAAGTGTCTTTTTGGTAATTCAGAATATGCGTTTGACTGAGTAAGAAGATTGTAAAAAACACTCGACCTGAAAAACCCTCGAAATTTTACAGAATATCTGTGAATTTTATGTAATTTTACGTAGTTGTGCCCTCCTTTTGGGGATTCTGAATATGGTCACCCTAGGAGACTGAAACTCCACATTCGGGGACCACTTTAGTGTATCTGCTTAATGCATAGTTTGTGCTCCATTCTTGCAAGAATTAAATGTGCTTTCATTATACAGTACACCCTGAACTCTGGTGTCCGCCTCCTGTCATTTGGAAAAGATATTTCTAACCATATAATTTAATTCATCAACCTTCCATCACTTGTTACCCTATGTGTCTGATTATGAAAAAAAAAAAAACATCCATTAGTGTTCATTGACCTTTGGCATAAGCGTGCATCTATACATTTTTACTTCATTTCCCCCTGACAGTGAGTTTATTTCAGATGACATCTTAAGATCCTGATTGATGTGATGATCATCACTCATACAGCCTTTCAAAGTAATCAGGTAATGGTGGAGGGAGGGTTCGATGAACAGACTATGATCCTGCTATCACAAGAAAACCAGCTCAGGAGGAAGGTAAGCCTGATTATGAACCCTGTAAGATGCAAAAACAGACTGAATTGAATGTTTGGATGAAAATTGGCTTTAAAGAAATCGCAATCACCTTTTAAAAAATAGTTTTTATAGCTCTCATTAGAAAGCAAAAGATGAATAGTAAATGTTTTTTGTCATCTTTTCCTGCATGTTTTTCAGTGCTTGACAGCAGGTTCCTCAATGATACTCAGTTCCTCCTCAGTGAACATTGTTTCATGTGGAGAACCAGGTCCACAGATTGCATGGCAGCAAACATCCAGACAAACATTCATATAAGTCCTGGGCCTGACACTGGTCTGTATTTGCATAATGAAATCCTTTGTTTATTATAAACTAGCGCATTCATTTCACCAAGGACCATTAAACAAGCACAAAGTAGTTAAAAAATGTGGGAGCCGTGGTGCAGAATATGAAATTAAAATGCAAATGTGGCTCAAACTCGATATCTAGTCCTCCATGGAGCAATAAAACACCAGACAATCAGGTAGTGTGTGCTTCTACGTGGTGACAGGGATGGAGCAGAGGACCCAGAGGAACGCAGCCAAAGCAAGGAGCAGATGATGACACTTGATTTCCTTTCATGAACGAGACTCAGGTGGGTACTGGGGAGTGTGTACTCGAAAAGAGAGGCGTAGGAGATGTAGGAGGAGGCGGCGGTTCTAACATGTGTGTCATTAGTTACTGGGTTTTTGAACAGCCACTTGTGGGGTTGTCGTGAGCTGTGACAAACATGCAAAATTAAAGGGCAGGCGGCTGAGGGTTTGCCTTTTCACTTCACATACATATGATATAGACTCTGTCTCAAGTCACATCACCTCCATGCTTTGCCCAGTCTTTGTGAATGAAAAGACAGTCTTGTAGGGGATAATAAGTCTGTAGTGGCAGAATTATCCTTTCCCAGTTACATAGGGATGTACTGTATTTTCTGGGCAAGTTGCCAAGACAACGTGACTGCCGCTGAAGTGTGAGACGGGATCACAAATCACAAACCACAAATCTGTGTCTGAGCTGTGTCAATACCACATACTAGCCCCAACATCAACACGTGAGCCACTTCTATTTCCCTGCAATGTTGTGGTACTCTCCCTTCATAAAACTAGTGGGATTGAAGAGATACAACTCTGTAATGAAATCCCACAGAGGAGGATCAAAATATGGTGGACTGAACCTGTTATCAATACCAACAAATAACGGGGTAGAAAAAGGCAAAGTACATAAAGATTGTTATTATGATTTAATTTTTAGAAAGGAAGACTTTGTCTATTTTAAGAATGAAGATTAAAACACTTTTGGTTGAATTAAGATAAAGGCAAAGATTAAAAAAAAAAACATTAAGCTAAACCATGGTGTTTATATCCTGTCTTTCAAGTATGAATGGTCTAAAACATTATTAATCTCAACATGAATGGTAGAAGTTTTTGTTGTTTTTCAAAAGTAACACATTTTCTCTCAGTTTTAAGGTTTTTAAGCTCTGATTTATGACTGAAGTCTCTTTTGGTCTCCATTTATCAGGTCTGAGAAAGATGTTGGTGGCAGTGTTGGCTCTGTACCAGCAAGTAAGACATATCATGGTTGCCAAATCTCCCAGGAGGAGAGCTATCTGTGTTGCCAGGTCTCTCGAGCCTGTTCAAACAAAATATTTATCGACTGATATGTGTCAGTCTGAACATTGCACTATTATAATGTAAAGAAAACATATTTATTTAGATAGGGCTGTGTTTGCTGGGGTAACTACAGGGTAAACAAATAGATTAACATAATTTCTTTCTTATTGAGCACATTAACTGAGGACTTCTGTAGTCACCTGAAGCAGCGGGATAAACTTGCCAATAAATTGTTGATGATCCCTCAGACGTTTAAAGTCCACAGCAGAACAGATTCTTATGTTGAACGGTTGTCTCATGTTCTTATGTCTCATGAACGGTTTGAGGAATCCTGTGCTATTATTCATTATGTTTCCTCCAGCTGATCCTCCTTAGCTCTGCTAATCCAGGACAGAACGCTGCAGGAGCCTACATTGGTCAACAGAGCTGTCAATCATAGTAAGAACAAACCATGATAACGGAAATCCTGTCTGAGAAATTCATTGAAGTCATTCATTTAAGTGTGTCTTCACTGAGCAGTCTGGCCGTTTCTTCATCTGTTGACGTCACAAGGGCATGGTTAATGACCTAGATTGCAGCCAGCCACCAGGAGGAGCTCGAGAACTCGTAACTTCAAGCTGGTTCTAAGGTGGGATGATGGAGCAATGACACTGAATAGAGAAGTATTCTCGACGCATATTTGTTCTGTCTGCACAGCAGGAATCTGAACCTGAAGTTTCTGACCCCAAGATTAATTATATGTCTGTTCCTTAACATTATCTGACCTACGCATGCATCTTTTTCTGAAGACTGATATGTGATTTATGTCATGGTTGCTTGTTATTGTCTGTCTGGGTCCTTAATTTAAACTCAGTGTTACTGTCTTTGGGAAGACTCCTTAGAAAAAGAGAGAATCGATCTTGATGGGAACATTCCTGGTAAAATAAGGGATGAATTAAAAGAGATTAAAAAGAAAATGGGGACCATTCCATTCAAATACCTACCAATGGATCTCAAAGGCAGTACTCAGTAAGATACTGTAGGGTTCAAGTACTAACTAACAGGCTGCTTATCTTTGTCTGGACACAAAACCAGACTAGTCTGATGAGATGGACATTTTTTTGTGATTTTAAAAAGATTGTTAGAAAATGTCGGCTTTGGATGAGTGCTTGCGAATGTCCCCTACCTCATCCGGCATCTTTTTGTTGTTTGTACGACCACCCATTTTCTGTCAGTGCACATTTGGTTCTCATTCTGTTGAAAGCTGAACACGGCCGAGTCCTGACCCCATGTGCTGGCTCTTCTATGTGGTGCCATGTGTTTCTGGAGGTCTGTCCAGTCCTGCCAACAGATCTGTGCACTCTTCACTTCTCACTGCCCTTCATTGCCTCTGTTTCTGAGCTGATGTTCAGGTATGCAGCCCTCTGGGTGTACTAAGCATTGCCTTAGTGTGTTGCCAGGTCTGAAAAATATGAGGATGTTGGGGTATGCACAAATCCTCTGGTACTTTTCAAAGACAGCGGCCGCATAAGGGATGTTTGGATTTTAACAAAGGCCTACTCTGGGCATGCACAGGTTTTCAAAGCATGTTGGAAGTGCTTCTGTTCCCTGGTGTTCGCTGCAGTGTTTGTTGATGTTTTTTATGCTCAGTGGTGCAGGGTTCGAACTCCGGCCAATTTATGCTCAAGTGGATGTAGAGAATCAAACAGGAGGTAGTGGTTTGCGTATATGGGCTTTCTGTAAACCCCAACTTCAAGGCTTTCTGCTGCTGCATCGTCTATGAATGCTAATTTGTTGCTATAAAAAAATCCATCTCAGTTAAGTTCATGTTGTGCACAGATTTAATATGTTCTGTGAGAGCCACCTACTTTTAAATTTTGATAATGCCTAGTGCCTTTCTCTCCTCTTCTGAGGTCTGAGCTTAGTAAAGCCAACACAAAGACATGGAAGAAACCAAAGTGTTGGCCAGGAGGGGCCTGGTCCTCCTTGAAATATAATGAGCTACCCCCAAACTTTAAACCATGATTACTCGCCTTACTGAAAAACTTAATGTTTCTGTCAACTATTTGGTTTGCGTTGCATCAGACTGCTTGTAGCACATTTTCTTTTGTAAGTCTTTTAAATAATGACTGTGAACAAGCATATTTTTAAGCCAAGAAAATCCAAGTGTTTCTACTCTGCTGCAGTCTGTTTATACCAAGAAAATATTTTCTCAAAAATTCAACAACTTTAAGATACTTTGACATTGTAGTCAAAGTGCATATGATGAATGGAAATGGGAAAGAAAATCCACTCAGTGTGAGTGTGTTTGCACGTACACAAATCATGCCACCCTTTCATAATTCAGTGTCCCAGCTGCCAAAAAGCCCCGAAGCTGTTTACAGAGAAAGGTAAATAATATATATATATATATATATATATATATATATATATATATATATATATATGTACTCTGTATATATGAGTATGGTAACTTTATTTTTCTTACATGGAAACAGCCTTTGAGTTCTGAGTAGAACCTCTGTATTAAGTCACCTCTTCTGTTGCTGTGTTAATTGTCAATACTAAGATCAGTTGGAAACATCGATGTTTGCAGGTGTGTGGTGTTCTTCAGCGGTGTTTAATTACAAAGTTATACTGCCGACTACTGGCCTGGCATGCACAGTCCAGTGTTTTCAGCTGTTTCTGTGGAACCCTGAGAGGTGATGAGGATTTACACCATAGACTGTATATAAGATGGACAGAGTCTGCCTCCTCTCTGGGTGAAGCCACTCCGAGAACAGCACCCTCTGATGGTGGGCTGCAGTATAGGTCATAAATCCCGCCTCCACCAGCAAAGCTTATGGGACTGTGGACAAACTTTAGAAATTTATTATACAGAACATAATTTTTTCTCCCCCCTGCTTGTGATGTTGACATGTAGTTATTGTAAGACTGTTTTGTGCTCAAGTCATTTTTTTTCTGTACAGCTCCATTTTTAAAAGTTATTAGGGGGTTCATGTTTTCTATGATTGACACCTGATACAGCCTATGGGCGTTCAGGGATTGCGTAGCTCACACGGGGGGATACGCTGTTTGAGCCGAGCGTCATCACAGGGACTCTCGGCGACTGCGTGGCCGAATGCGCGCATCGCTACTGCGCAGCTCTGGTTTCAAGGAAGTGGAGAAAAACCCGGAATTACCGAGAGCTTTTTGGCTTCAAATCTGTATACAGGCGGAAGGCGGAACCAGGTTGTCCATAGTATATACAGTCTATGATTTACACCCAGTTCTAATAAAAACCCAGTTCTATATCTTCGAAAAAATGAAAAAGTCAATAACATTTGAGCTTATCAAGTCTGCTGTTGAGTCTAGTAGGTCCCATAAAGTAATTTTATAGTTTAATTGAATCAGTGGTGTACACACATTAATAGAATTTAAATTAAGTGTTTTTAAAAATTGAATTGGTAATAAACATAAATTAAATTACATAAACAAGGATGCCCTCCTGACTACTGTTGGCTGCCCCAGGTGAGACCTCCTCAATGATGAGGGTTCAAACCAGCTTCATTGGGATGTTACATCAAGCTGCATACTATTTTAGAGCTTTTTCAATGCAGCACCTTTCCTTCAGTCTGTAAGTTTCTTCCCTCAGACTTTGACCAGTTCTTACACAATCAAACAGAGTTTTTGTGTGTTTTCATACTGTTGGGCTGTTTTTACATTTAAAACCCTCATCAAAGATCAGGATGGGAATGTTGGACCCCTTTCTTTTTTGTTATCATCTTTTGTTGTTTTTATCTCCATTTCTGTGTTGTTTGGCCTTTGTGATGGGGGTGTTTGTTTTTCTAAACGTTGGACTGCGATCGGCTCTTTTTCGGTAACGTCTTATTAAAGCTGCTTATGCCATGAGGAAAATTCATTGTAGACCTTCTACACTTGTCCAGAACACAGAGAAAAGCATTATTTCCTTCATGTGGTGAGCAGTGCGGCGGCATATTAGCCACCAGTGACAGGGACAGCATGTTCAATCAAGTCTTAGTAATACACAACCCATTTATAGCAGAAGTTATCAGGGGGTTTCCATACAGAGCACACTATTTGTCCCGAGAGTTCATCATAAAAGGAAAAATCATAAAGTTGAACTTCTGCTCCTCACCTTGAGTATATATTATTCTTACAACATAAAATACAAGTCTTTAGTGTAATACTATCCCCCTGACTTCCCACAGCAAGGATCAACTGTGAGAAAGGCCAAAGATTTGAGCAGGAACTCAGATCATATTTCCAAACTGATTTTTTTTCTCTGTGCAAATGCAACTCCTTCAACATCCCCCCTCTCCAAATTGCCAGCTCCCCTCAAGCCAGACGAATCTGTTTCAAAATCCTCTCAAACATTGGACTTGCAGTCCCCGGCACTGTTGCCATGGAGGCCACCTCAATATCAAGTTTCCTTTCTCCTAATACGGTTACAGGCCTTATGAAGAGCA